TAGGGCGACAGCATAGGGCGCGTGCGCAGCGCGGGACGTGGCCCGCCGAGCGGAGCGGTAAACAAGAGCCCGGCAGGTGCGGTCGGCCACACGAATTTCGGCGCCTGGGACGGCCACCACCTGTCCGCATTTGCATAATGCGCAAACAACAACAACCCGCCGCGAAATTTGTGCCGGCTTTGATATTCACCCCCTCCCCTCTTGTCCCACTCATGCGCACTCTGACGGGGCTTCAACCGGGAAAAATGCAGAGGAGAATGGTCATAAATGTGACCTAATGACTACGACATACACATTACGGAACACCTTGTCGCGAATAAATTAAATGTTTGCATGAAATAAAAGAAACAATATACTGACATGACATAATATATTCGACTCGCAATGTTTCGTAAATTTTCTTATTCCGTAAAATAACCTGGTTAACTTCAACTTTGGACTTACGAATTTCTTGATACGTTGAAATAGAATATTTCTCCTTCTCTACACTCACAAAAACTGATAATCATCTTGTTTCTCGAATTGATACACAAAATAAATACTTCATAACTCGATATTTTTGTACTTCAGATTCTAAATATCGAGTGTCTAACTTTTGGTCTTCTGCAATACAATAATTTTCTAATTTTCCATAGTTTAACACAACGATGAATAGTTTTACGATGAATTTGAAGTAAAAATAACACTAAACTCTGTAATTGTTGTAAATTACGAACTGTGAAGAGACAATTTTCATTTCTTTGTTTCCTTTTCTTGCTTCCCAGGTTCCTACTAAACGTAGAACGTAAAATGAAAAAAGAGAAGCAGAAATAACTTTTTCTTCTATGGCAAGCGCATCAAAAAGCAGGGTCGAAACAACAGAACCGAAGTTAAGGTAAAAGTCTAGGTCTGTTTCGGGCATTTCAAAATCTTTCTTTTACGTCAGCACATTATGGACAACTTAACCAAACAGTACTGATTTTTCTTTTTCAATTGAAGAGTTGACGAGAGAAATACTTTCATTTCAGAAACGTTTGAAGTTAAGTACTAATAATAAAAAGCAGTCGCCGCCAAATTGGGTTTATTTTTGTTTAACAGAAAAATATATATTATATTTTCGTGGAAGTAGAGACCTAAAAATGAATGACAGATATTCTATAAAAGACGCATGTACAGCAGTAAGTAGACGGGGGGGGATGGAAGCGCCTTTCTTGACACAACACACTGATAGACCGTTTTAGTAAGTAAAACCAACAGGTATCTGACGAGTTCTGGTACTGCAACAAGAGAGAGCCTGCAGTCAATAGAATACATGCATACAGACACACACACACACACACACACACACACACACACGCACGCACATCGTCACACATGCTTCGGCGGGCGAACAAATGATGCAAATACATTTTGAATATGCAAATGTAATCGGAGCGTCCCCGGAATGACAGGTCCCGGCCGCAGCCTCGCGCTGTCACTCAAACGCGCTCTCCTGGCAGGCGGCGCAACTAGGCGGCAGCCACGGGACGACGGCACCATGGCGATCGCCGCCGACGCGAACTCGCGAACACGCGGCGCAGAAAGCAATCACCAAGTGGCGAATGACGCATAACTGCACGGTAGCGATTGCATGCGAGACGCATCGACTCTTTTGTGCACCATTAATGGGACTTTTCCTTTCAACGCCAAACGTTCCGCTTACCCGCACCGCGCTTAATTGGGAAAGCAATTACCGCGGTAATTACGAGAGGCGAGAAAAACAAGCGTAAGTATCGCCGGTTGACAAATGGAACATAAGTGTTGCGAGTGATGCTGAAATGACTTGCTATCCTATTCCCGACGATGTAATTGCCATCGTGTTTCCCGTAAATGAAAAATACACAAACAGACTTTTGCATTCCAGCCGATCTATACTGTTTTACAATCCTTTTTTTCAAGAAAATCAACAGTTGTTTACAAAGACTACAAATGTTTTCAAAAAAATACTCAATTTTTGGCACTTAAATGTTGAAAAGTTTATTTTAGGGTCTTCAATATTAGATATAGAGCGTTAAAAGTTTGAATGTAATTAGAAGCAGATACCAAAACCTCAAAACAACATTGCAGGTTTATGTGCGATTAATTTGTTAATTTCAATAGCTGCTTCGTTCGTAACGTTGTCAAGGGAATGTAGGTCATTTGTTTTTCCTTGGAGAGCCATCGCTTGCCGCCGGCACCACTTACTTGTGTCCGTTGAGGGCGGCATGGTGCAGGGCGGAATAGCCGCTGCTGTCCTGGACGTTAGCTCCAGGGCCGCGCCGCAAACTGAAACAGAGCGCGTTGTCAGCACATATGCGATTCAAAACCCAGAGAACAATGCTTGCCCAATTGGGAACATATCGATATAACGCTAAAAAAAGGCTAAATAACTACTAAGGGTAACTACCCAATTTATGTCACGATTTTCAAACGATTCTCTAAATCAATAATCCCGTAAATGCGTACTCAGTAAAAATGTATTTCAAACGTATTAAATATAGAAATTTTTTTGAACCTCACAGAGTTAACGATAGTCCTTCGTCAGTTTTATAGTACGAAAAGATACTTTTTTATAATTTTATCGAGGAAAGTAATAGCCCGCAGCAATAATGTCGGTGAACAAACAGCACAAAATGGTTTATTCAAATGGAAGTATGCACACCG